AATTTTGACCCATACAATGTATTTTTGGCTATTGCTACAAATATACCCCAGCGACTTAAGACTGCTTTTGTACTGCAGGGTCACAAATACGGATGAATCTCAGCAGTTGGTTGTAGCTGATCATAAATAAAGTGATACTCCACCTATTTTCTTGTGTTTGGGGAGGTTGAGGTTGTTCATGATGTTGAACTAGACCGTCAGCGACAAACAGGAGAATAAACCACACACACAAACATCCCTGATACTAACTAAACACTTCATCTGGTTAACACTGCTGTCTCGTTCAGACTCAACAGAAGAGGTTTTAGTGTCCTGCAGTAAAATGCCTTTAACACACAGCGTCTCAGTTTACCAGTCCTGAGTGAAGACAGGTGAAGAGCGTTACTGTGTCGCCACCATGTGGACGTCTGAAGAACTGCATAAACAAGACAAAACACACTGAACAACCTACAGCAGCCATTAGTGCTGGAGCATATAATGCACATTCCTCTCATTCATGGATATGTATATGATTATATTATGCTGTTTATATGGGTATTACATTTTCTGCACAGCATGTCTTTTAGACTAGCTTCACAATAAATATTGATGTTTATGACTGCGTGTGGTTATACTGGTGCATAGAAGTGTACAAGATTTAATCTCATTCTTCCTTGCTTGAATTTAGTAAAAAACAGTGCTGTATTTGAATTTTCACATTGCATTGAACATTTTAAATCTGCTATAAACAGAGGTGCATATGAAAAATAAAAAAGTAAAGAAAAAGTAAATGTAAATATTAGCATTGTATTTTTAAGTTTAGTATAAAAATAACTATTTTTATTTAATACTCATTTTAAAATATAATAGTATTATCACACTTTATTTTTTAATTTTCTTATTATTTTATTTAAAAAATAAACGAAATAAATAGTGCAATAATACTATAATTTTAATAAATAATTATTTTATTTTTTTAGTTGCATTTTTAGGTGTACTATAAAAATAACTGTATTTTTATTCAATACTCATTTTAAAATATAATAGTGCAAGATATA